AGAGTGGAGACAGCAGCTTCCATTTCCTTTTGCTCCCAGGGCGTGTTTAGCCTTTGTTGTGCCTGGGCTTTCTGACAAGCAGGCAGCTAGGACACCAGCCTGAAGTTTACTTCGTCATTCCTCGGAATCAGCGATATCTTGAGTGTTGCAGTCTTTCCAGTGGATAAGGACTTATTGATGCAAAAGATGCCTGTGGAGAACAGAAGGGTAGCGAGGCAGGGGGTTTTGGGTGAGAGCCACAGAAAACGAGCACATGGGAGCCTGCAGTCTGGCCCAGCGCTGGAGCTAGCCGACAGGATGCTCACCGCAGGGAGAGCTGCACCCTCCTTATTCCTCCCTGCGTTTTCCTTTTCCTTGCAAATGTTATTTGACAAAAGCAATCGTGCTAATGTCCTTCCCCGTGGGTTCGGTGCTGGTCTTGACATGGTGACTAGGAGGAATCATTATGCTTACTCCACGCTGGAAGAATGCCCCCGCTGTGCCCCCGCGAGCACTGGCCATGGGGACTAGAACTGAGGGGACACCACCGTCTGCCTGAGTTAGTGGTTCTGATCGCCCACAGGTCGTATCCTGGGATCTGGTGCGTTCGGGAAAGTGGTCGAAGGAACTGCCTATGGATTGAGCCGGTCCCAGCCTGTCATGAAAGTAGCAGTAAAGATGCTAAAACGTAAGTGCCCCATCCTGGGATTTCTTCGAAAATGGAGATAGTAAGTGAATCGTTCCAAACCCCACAGCCAGTAAATGCCAAACTTAGGACTAGATCTTGGTTCTTTCGACTCCAGGTTTCATGGGTAATTAGACTGTTTTCTCAGTCGGGTTATTTAAATTATTCTTGTTGCCTGTATGATGGAAAATCAAGGGTTGTTATTTTTGGTGACTTCTTTTTTCCTTGAAGACTTGAGATTAGTTATCAGTCTAGACCAAGTCACTATGTGTTTCTCTTTTAGACCCTTCGCTAAATAAAATGATATCCAATCACAGGATTAAAGCCATGTTGCTGGCTTTTTCTGGGAGGTAAATCAGTTGAACTGATATGTGATTTATTTCTTCAACAGCCACAGCCAGATCCAGTGAAAAACAAGCTCTCATGTCGGAACTGAAGATAATGACTCACCTGGGGCCCCATTTAAACATTGTGAACTTGCTGGGGGCCTGCACCAAGTCAGGTAGGTTTCCTGACCTGGGGGTAGGGATCTTTTATAGATCTATAGTTGGGAAGACTGCCCAGGATTTTTTTTTTTTTAATGTTTATTTATTTTTGAGAGAGAGAGAGAGAGAGAGGTGCAGAGAAAAAGGGGAACAGAGGATCCGAAGCAGGCTTTGCACTGACAGCAGAGAGCCTGACGTGGGGCTTGAACTCACAAACTGTGAGATCCAGACCTGAGCTGAAGTCAGACGCTCAGCCGACTGAGCCACCCAGGCACCCCCTTTTTTGTTTTTGTTTTTTAAAGTTTACTTATTTTGAGGCAGAGAGAGAGAGCCTCCCAAGTGATCTCATGACTGTGAGATCATGACCTGAGCAAAGTCAAGAGTCAGATGCTTACCTGACTGAGCCACCCAGGCTCCCCTGTCCAGACTTTTTTATTTTATTAAAAAAAAAAAAATTTTTTTTAACGTTTTATTTATTTTTGAGACAGGGAGAGACAGAGCATGAACGAGGGAGGGTCAGAGAGAGGGAGACACAGAATCCAAAACAGGCTCCAGGTTCTGAGCTGTCAGCACAGAGCCTGACGCGGGGCTCGAACTCACGGACAGTGACATCATGACCTGAGCCGAAGTCGGACGCTTAACCGACTGAGCCACCCAGGCGTCCCTGTCCAGACTTTTTTAAACCCTCCTTCTCTCCCTGCAAACATGCCCACAAGTATAAGTCCGTGAATGGAGTTGCCTGGATTCCACTGAATGGAAGCTCATTGTTTTTGAGCGATATCTCTCGCCAGCGCGCACAGCATTTCATGACTTTTCTCTTCTTCATTTTCATACCCATTTCTAAACTGGCCTTGGTTCCCACAGGCCCTATTTACATCATCACGGAGTACTGCTTCTATGGGGATTTGGTCAACTATTTGCATAAGAATAGGGACAGCTTCCTGAGCCGACACCCAGAGAAGCCAAAGAAAGAGTTGGACATTTTTGGGCTGAACCCTGCTGATGAAAGCACACGGAGGTGGGTGCAGAGGGACACGTTGCTGTGAATCGTTGTGTTACAAGTGGGGAGAACCCACGTCGCGATAGAATGCACGTCTGCAGATCCAGGGCTGGCAGGTGGCAAGAGTCCAGCTCCCCTGCCCATCATCCCGTGATGGTGACACGTGCCGGTACATCCCATGACACGGTGCTGGTGTTTTGGGCCAGATATCACCTGAGGAGGCCTGAGAGGTTTGAATGGAAGCAAAAGTTGGACTCATTCTGGGGGCCAGTTTGCTGTTTTTGTGTGTTCCACTTAAGACCCGTAATTGCAGCTATGAATCAAGCCACTGGTAGTGATCGTAACTGCAGGAACTTACAGGCGGCTATAAAGATCTCTGTAGATTTCAAGTTCCGTAAGATCGGAAAGTACAAGTTCCCTTTGTATCGAATTACTCGACGGCCACCAAACTGGCACTGAATTTACGGAGTAGCAGGAAACGTCTGCCCGAGCCATGTGGTCGTGTGGTCCGGGTTTGTGGCCTGTTTATTGTAAAACGGAGCAAGAATAAGGACAGACACACCTGAGTAGATGACCCGTTTGTTTGTGTGATTACTGATTAATGCTCATCTCATCTACCAGACCACCCCACGTGAAGGGTACACGCTGGTTTTGCTTTTGCTCACCCCGGCCGCCCCCCTACTCACCACACTACCTTGCACGCGGTAGGCACCTGGTCGTCCCCTACTGAATGTTGAATGACCACCCCCGAGGGGCACCCTGAATCAGGTTTCTTTTTCTGTTTTTACAGTTACGTTATTTTATCTTTTGAAAACAATGGTGACTATATGGACATGAAGCAAGCTGATACCACACAGTACGTCCCCATGCTGGAAAGGAAAGAGGTTTCTAAATACTCGGACATCCAGAGATCGCTGTATGATCGCCCGGCCTCGTATAAGAAGAAATCTACGTCAGGTAAAAGTGTCAGTGTGTCCTCTTTGCCTCTTCTAGTGCCTTAACGATTCAGATATCCCCTGCTCTCCGCAAGTTTTGTTCGTGCCACTCTGCTTTTATGAAAGGCCCACGTGAGTATTTGTTTTCGCCTGCCGAGAGAAACCAATCCAAAGAGGATTTGCTTCTTTGCTTTATGCCATTTTGGCTTGCAGAGGGTTTCATAGGCATGCTCTACTTTAGGATAGTGGTAAATTCTCAGAGGAAGGTGAGCAGGTGGGGTAAGTCAGACTGTGAGGCTGTGGTCCCTAAATGCAGGTTTGCACAAGTGGGTCTGTGACGTGCCTTCAGAACTTTCTGGGCTATGACTTGAAAGGAAGAACAAGAATAAAGACAAACTTAATGCAATGCATTTTCATTTACTTGAAATGTAAAACTTCTAAGGAATTATTTATTCTGATATAACGATCTTCCTTTTTTTGGTGTTAGTGTGTGTATGTGTGTGTGTGTGTGTGTGTGTGTGTGTGTGTGTGTGTGTGTTTTAATGAAAGTATGGGGGTAATTGATGTTTTTCCCCCCTCAGTGCCCTTACTTGGTAAATTTAAAAGTTGGCTACCTTATATTGGTTCCCAATAGTATTTAAAATTTTTTAATCACATAAGTCTCTGATATCGATGAGTTCAGTAGCCCTTGCTTTTGGCTTTGCTAATATCCACTTTGTGACAGAAGCTGGAAGGTAGACAATTTAAGGTTATATTTTCTGACAAGGGTGTTGAGTGTTTGTACTGAACGTTGTTTGAAGGAAGATCCCGTCTAATCTTTCAAAACAGATGAACATGTGGCATAGTGGCATTGATTTGTGAACTCCAGGGAGCCTAACCGATGCCCATAGCAGATGGACTACCCCACTTCTGCTGCGGGGAGACCCTTCCAGGTCCCCGTCTAATCCCAGGCTTGGAGAGGGGAGGACGTCCTGCTGGGTCTGAGGTTGACCAGTCTCTCGATTTTGTGTTCTGGGCCTGGGCCCTCCCCTTGGTCAATGCAAAAAAGTGTTGAGCTGCCATGGAAATTATTTTGTAAATCACTGATATGCTCTGCATGCTTGCGGGGTTCTTCAGTGAAAGGTACAAATCCATTTAAAAAAAGAATGTGCTTGTTTTGCAAAGCTCCATACATGAGAATATTTTCCATTGCTGCAGTTCCAAGTTCCATTCACTCCTCATTGCCAAATGGGGGAACTTCCAAGCCCTTTTAAAAGATTAGCCAATGAGAGCTGTCGGAACAGTGCTTCCTCTCCCCTCCCGTATTGTTAAAAATAGTTTACATTGCTTCCCAGGCTGGACCTGGCTCCAGATGTCAGGGGAACCTGATTCATGCTCAGCCCGGGCCCTGTTGGCAGGCACGCCCCTGATTTCTGGCCTTCTCCTGGCTGGCTGGAAAAATATGAATGGTTGCACTACTCTTCACTTGCCTGAAAGCGTTCAAAAAGAAATGAGAACGGCTGGCCTAGATTACCTCCTTCCTCGAAAACCCTGGGACCCTTCCAGAGGGGACTAACTGGGCAAAGTGGACAAGCTGCAAAAGGAACTAAACGCAGAGTCAATGGCACTGACCTTTAAGATCGTTCCCTCTAGTCTGACTGGGGCTTGCTTTAATACAGGAAAGAAGCCAAATACTATGAAGGTGGCTTTAACAAGAAAAGAGAAAGGCAATTCTTAGAAGCTACTTTTTTTTTTTAACGGTCATTTATTTTTTAGAGAAAGAGAGAGAGAGAGACACACACACAGAGTGTAAGTGGGGGAGGGGCAGGGAGAGAAGGAGACACAGAATCCATCCAAACAAGGCAGGCTCCAGGCTCTGAGCCGTCAGCACAGAGCCTGACGTGGGGCTCGAACTCACAGACCGTGAGATCATGACCTAAGCCAAAGTCAGATGCTTAACGGGCTGAGCCACCCAGGCACCCCAGAAGCTACTTTTTCAAAGGGCCCTCATGTATATTCATCCCGTAAGATTTAAAGATGACTATGTGACTTGCTAACTAAGGTTGAAAAAAGAAATATAGGAGGCAAACAACAAAATATGTGTGAGACCCCATTAGACTGGTCCCTATGGACACACACACACACACACACACACACACACACACCCCAGATATATATTTCTGCAGGCATACTTCTTTTTAATGGTAGAACCTCTGTGTGGTTTGCGTCCCCACCTGCGAGGTCTGGAAACACTATAGGAAAATAATTTTAGATTTGTTCTTTGGACAAGCCTGCGCAGCCCTGTGGGAGAGCCCCCCGTGGGTGACGTTTCACGCTGTCCTCCAGCACCAACACACTTAATTCCTTTCCTGCAGACTCGGAAGTCAAAAACCTCCTCTCGGACGATAACTCAGAAGGCCTGACTCTGCTGGATTTGTTGAGCTTTACCTATCAAGTGGCGCGAGGGATGGAATTTTTGGCTTCCAAAAATGTGAGTATGTTCCCGGAACGGAGTTCTCTGTAGATCTGGGCCTGGAGCGTGGTAGGCCTGGCAGAGGCTTGTAGCAACGGCTGCTTGCTTCTCCCTTCCCTTTCCCCGAAGTGTGGCGGGGCGTCCGGTCTCGTCAGGCGTCTACTCTGCTCCAGAGCCTTCTCCTTCGTGGGGGTGGCCGGGATGAGAGCCTGCAGGCCGTGAGCTCTTTGCTCCAGGACAGCCTCCCTGAGGTGTCCCGGGCAGCCCCAAGCACCACCACGAAGTGGCCAACCTTGCAGGGGTGAGGTGGTCTGGCGGCAGATGGACAGACTCTGTTGTTTCTTCCCTTCCCACGCAGTGTGTCCACCGGGACCTGGCTGCTCGCAATGTCCTCCTGGCGCAAGGGAAAATCGTGAAGATCTGTGACTTCGGCCTGGCCAGGGACATCATGCACGATTCAAACTACGTGTCCAAAGGCAGCGTACGTGCTTTTTGCCCCCGTTTGACTCGCTCACCTTTCCTCACCGAAGCTCTGAAACTAGGCATTGCTTCTGGCCATTCAGTGTCCATATATGTTGTTAAATATTAAAAAAAAAATTTTTTTTTAATGTTTTATTTATTTTTGAGACAGAGAGAGAGAGAGCATGAGCAGGGGAGGGGCAGAGAGAGAGGGAGACACAGAATCCGAAGCGGGCTCCAGGCTCTGAGCTATCAGCACAAGAGCCCTACACGGGACTCAAACCCACGAATCTTGAGATCATGACCTGAGCCAAAGTCGGACGCTTAACTGACTGAGCCACCCAGGTGCCCCTTAAACATTTTTTTTAAAGGTAATTTATTTATTTTGAGATAAAGAGAGCATGTACGTGTGCATGTGCAAGTAGGGGAGGGGCAGAGAGAGAGAGAGAGAGAGGGAAAGGGGCAATCCCAAGGAGTCTCCATGCTGTCAGAGCAGAGCCCGACGCCGGGCTTGATCCCATGAGATCATGACCCGAGCCGAAGTCAAAAGCCAGACGCTTAACCGACTGAGCCACCAAGGCGTCCCCAGCGTCCATATTTTAATGTGGAGCCTGCAAGATTCATGAATGGGCTCCTGGGACCAATACGGAAAGCGCAAGGTCTGCAGCCAGACTGCCTGGGTGTGAGTACTGGTTCCAGCGCTTACTACTGTGGGGATTTGGGGCAAGTGACTTGACCATTCTGTATCTTGGTTTCCCTATCGGTCACAGCGACCTGATAATAGTACCCATCTCCTGGGTTGTCTTGGGTGATTCAGTCAGTGACTTTAAGTTAAATGCTTAGGGCAGTGCCTGGCACACATGAGCCCTCAGCAAGTGTTAGCTATTAATGTGTTGGATTCGAGCCCCGTGCTGGGCTCTGTGCTGACTGCTTAGAGCCTGGAGCCTGCTTTGGATTCTGTGTCTGTGTCTCTCTGCCCCTCCCCCACTTGTGCGCGCTCTCTCTCTCTCTCTCTCTCTCTCTCTCTCTCTCTCAAAAATAAATAAACATTAAAAAAAAAAGTTGATGAATCTGTGATCTCCCCATGAATTTCAGAAGGCTGAAGGTTGCTAATGTGGTTCCTTTATATTGTATATCTGCTTCAGTCTTAGTATTTCCACTGGAGTTTGTACAGCCTCCCAAAAGAAGCTGCAAAATTATCATAACATCATATTTATAGTGATAGGAAATGAATTTCTTAAAATTCAGTAATGTAATTGGTTCTCAGATCACTGGATCTGTTTCGAATTTTGTTCCTAGGAACACCGGCAAATAGGAGAGACTGGTCCAGTCAGGGCTTTCGCTTTTTGGGTAAAACATTCAGGATTAAATATTTTCAAATGTTATTCCTTGGGAGGACCTAAGAGGCCACATCAACTATCCATCATTCATGAAATATTTATCGAGTACCCACCGGCTGCCAGGCACTCTCACGAGGGTGGAGAACACAACCCTGGACAAAAAAACACAGGGAGATACTTATGTGGACAAGGTTCTCGGTGCAAGTTATTATTAGTCCAAAAAGGACCCCTACTATTTCCGCTGCTGTGGGTCATTGGTGCGTATGCTGGATTTAATTTCCTCCCTCCTTCCATGCAGACCTTTCTCCCTGTGAAGTGGATGGCTCCTGAGAGCATCTTCGACAACCTCTACACCACGCTGAGTGACGTCTGGTCTTACGGCATTCTGCTCTGGGAGATCTTTTCCCTTGGTACGGGCCTGACATCTCTGCTCGCTTGGGTCGTTTTGGAAAAACACTGGGAGGGAAACACTGTGTTTTCCAGGCTCCAGGGTGTTAACAATGTTAAGATACCTGCTGTGAGTCAAGTGCACTGCGGCAGATTAAATCACACATTGAGCACTTCTGGTGTCAGGAGTATGCCCGTGCAGACAGCCAGGAGTTTTGGGGGGGCTGCACCCTCACGTCTGGCCTTTGCCCCCCCCTCCTTTGGGCTGTGCTAGAATGACTTTCTCCCACTAGAGATGTTCCTGAGCACACCCACTCCCCAGCTGCTTTTTCACAGGGTCTTTGGGTTAAGTGGGTTCACCAGTGGTTATCGAGGCTCAGGTGAAAAGAAGTGTGGCCAGGAAAAGAGTGTGATTCCCCTTCCTGATCATCTCTCTGGAGGAGAAGAGCCTCCTAGTCATTGGGTTCGTCAGTCACCAGGTCCCAAACAACACAGGTACCCTGTGCTGCCAGGTGAGGGCCCTGAGGGAGGAGTGATTCATGACCCTGACCTCTGACAGTTCATCTCGGATAAGATAAGACTTACACATAGCAATAAATGGGGTGGTTCTGATTAAAATTGTAATGGAAGAGAAAAGGGGAAGGAGTTTTGGAGTAGTTTTGGAAGGCTTTAGAGAGGAAACTAAGCTTGTTCTGACTGTGGCCATAAAAACGGAGATGTTTCATGAATTCTGTTACCTTAATGTGGTAGTGAAGGGTTTCTTCCCTGCCTGGTCTCCTTCTGCGATCCCATTTGTCCCTGCTTGGATGTCACTGCCTCATCCCGGTGTGTGGCTTAACTGAGGCTCACAGTCTACTAAAAGCAGAGAATCACCTAGATATTTCAAGCCTCAGCTTTGACTTTTGCTCTAATTATTAAACATTTTTGGTGAGAATGATTTTTTTTTTTGTAATTTTTTTGGCTTTAGTGATTGAGAATTTCTCTTCCTTTTCTATTTTGCTTTGTATGTGTAGATCCAGGGATCAGAAACATTGAAAAACACTTGTGTGCTTTTCCTAAGATGTAGCGTCTTTGCCTAGGGTGTCTGGACTTGACCAACCCAGAAGTCCTGGTTACCTTTACGATTCCGGGCAAGCCCGTGAAGTCAAGGAGATGGTAACCCTTCATTTCCTTGCAAGAACCAGAAGTCCAAGTGGGGATCCCCAAATGTGTTCTGGAGGTGCCGTATGACCCCGAGTGTCTCAGCAGTGTAACGCACGCTCGTTAATCCCGGTTGTTCCCTTTGGTTTTCAGGGGGCACCCCGTACCCTGGCATGATGGTGGATTCCACTTTCTACAACAAGATCAAGAACGGGTACCGGATGGCCAAGCCTGACCACGCCACCAGCGAAGTGTGAGCCCCCTCCCCATCTCGTGCGCCTTGCGTTCATGCCCGGCGGGCGTGTGGGGTGGGGCGGGGGTGCCCTGACACTCCTCCCTGTGCCCACTCGGAGTTGTGTGCTTCCGCAGCTATGAAATCATGGTCAAGTGCTGGCACAGTGAGCCGGAGAAGAGACCCTCCTTTTACCACCTGAGTGAGATTGTGGAGAATCTGTTGCCGGGACAATATAAGAAGGTTTGTCTGGGCCCCTCCAAGCTGGGTGGAACGGCACGGGCAAAGGGAGAAGTCAAGAGCAGGCAGTCACGCGAGCGAGCAGCACAGTTCAACGCTGTTTTAAAGGAACGTTTCCAAAGGGGAGGAAGATTGTTTGATCCAGTGGCCAGGGCTTTCATGGCGTGCTCCCCCGGCCCCTGGTAGCGATGATGAATGAAAACCCTCCCCTCTCCTCAGGGCTCCCCTTTTATCTCAAGTGTGCGACACCTGTAAGCACTTTATTCTCCAGATGTTCGAGTATCTGAAGCTACCGTGCAGTTAGAAGTCTCAGGGCATCCACAGCCATTAAATCGCTAATTTGAATGCACTTAAATCCATGTGAAATTGGCTTTCACCAGCTGACTGGAAGGAACAACCTCAGCTGTTATCTGTGGCTCCAGCTGGTTTTTTGCGGAATAGGAAGCATTGTTCAAAGGAACAAATGTAATTTCATGGAGCCAAGCAGGATATGTTAATAAATGAAACAACTTTCTGCCAAGATGCTGTGAAGGAGCCCCAGACACAGTTGTATAATCAATGCAATTTCTAAGATTCAGGTTCGTCAGTATGTAGAGTCTTCATATCTATTGCTTGTCCTTCTCATAGAGGAGCAGCGTTAGGTCGTTGCATGCTGAACTGGGCGTTAAACACTTGTGTCTATTGATTATCTCACTGCCCGTTACAACTCCCACAAGTGAGGCAATGAGGAGGCAAAAGGAAATTAATGGTGGCTCAGTCAAAGATGCCCTGGCTGGTTAAGTAAGATGTATGGGTGGGAAGAGACTGGAATTGGTCTGGAAAAATGAAGTCTTTTTAGATCCAAGTTCTGTAAGTTTTGAGTTAGATTTCTCCAACATTTAAGGGTCAGGAAGGTTTCAGGGGTGGTGCTTTCAGTGGAAGTCCTTGTCCCCTCTTATTGAGACCCATCCAAGCCCTGAAGAGACTATGTATTGGGACCAGAAGGCTCCCCGCTAGTCCCAGAGAAGGGAGTGTGTGTGCATGGAGGTGGGTGGGTGGGGGTGGGGAGGGAACCCAGTCATAGCTACTGACTCAGTGAAGGGGTTCATTGTATCTTTTTTAAAACAAGTTTATTTGGGGAGCGACAGAGAGAGTGGGGGAGGAGCAGAGAGAGAGAGAGAGAGAGAGAGAATCCCAAGCAGGCTCAGTGCTATGCGGGGCTCAAACTCAATAACCGCGAGATCATGACCTGAGCCAAAACCAAGAGTCAGTCGCTTAACCCACTGAGCCACCCAGGTGCCCTGGGGCTCATTGTATCTTAAGGAGAATGAGAGATCCCATTGGTAGGATGGCAGGAGATCTCTGCCATCAGTGGTCCTTTCCCCGTGTCCCACATCCCTGGGATGTGACAGTTGACAGCTGACTCTCCTTCAGTTGTCTCAACCCCGCATCTGTGCGGTAGCTTGGAAACACAGACAGTTAAATAATAGTTCTGAGTGTCCTTTCTGCAGTTCAGTGGGTGACACTTGGTTAACCACGTGAAACGCATATCTGCAGAGCTACGAAAAGATTCACCTGGACTTCTTGAAGAGCGACCACCCTGCCGTGGCGCGCATGCGCGTGGACTCAGACAACGCCTACATCGGCATCACCTACAAACACGAGGAAGACAAGCTGAAGGACTGGGAAGGCAGCCTGGACGAGCAGAGGCTGAGTGCAGACAGCGGCTACATCATCCCTCTGCCCGACATCGACCCTGTTCCTGAGGAGGAGGACCTGGGCAAGAGGAACAGACACAGGTAGGGCCTCCTGCAGAGCTCCCCTCCGCCCCCCAGCGCCCCTGAAGGAGGGGAGCCATTGCCCTGGCGACATCAGTGCATCTGTTCGAGGGGAGCGGTGGCAGAGCCTCTGAGGGGTCTGTTTCCTTATATAAATGCTTCCCAGATGCTCCTCATACCTGCCCCGTGGGGCTGGGGGAGGTATAGGGCAGGCAGGGTGGAGAGTCTTTGACCGGAGTCCTCGGGTGTTTTGATCAGACTGTCGCAGCTGCTCTGATTATTGAGATACTAGAAGCCTCTCTTGCTGTTTTCTGCACTGGTCATGGAACGGAGGAGAGAGCTGAGAGAGAGGCCAGACTGGGCTATTGGATGCTTCATCAGTGGATCTTACCCCTAGCTGTAAGCTCGGATCACCTGGGGAGACTAGAAAACCGATCTACGCACATCACCCAGACCAACGAGTTAGAATCTCTGGGAATGGGACCCAGGCGCTTCCTGGCTGATTTGTTCTTCCTTTTTAACTTTGTATAATGGAAGACTTCTAACGTGCCCGACTCAAGTTGTACAGTGACCTGTCAGTTAATCTGTCATCCAATTTGAGCGTGCATGAACTCATGGCCAGAATGCATGAAACCACTACCACTCTCCTTGGGTTATTTTGAAGCCAATCCTAGACATCGTGTCATTTCACCCATAAATATTCCATCATGGGTCTCTAAAAGATAAAGGCTCTATTTAAAAAAATGTTTTAAGTTTATTTATTTTGAGAGAGACCGAGAACGCGAACGGGGGAGGAACAGAGAGTGAGGAGAAAGAATCCTAAATAGGACCTACGCTGTCATCGTGGAGCCTGACCTAGGGTTCAGTCGCATGATGTGAGATCATGACCTGAGCTGGAAGCAAGAGTCAGGTGCTTAAACCGACTGAGCCGCCCAGGCCCCCTATGACTCTATTTAAAGAAATAACTGGAGTTATTAAAAATAAATTACGAGGGGCGCCTGGGTGGTGCAGTCGGTTAAGCGTCCGACTTCAGCCAGGTCATGATCTCGTGGTCCGTGAGTTCGAGCCCCGCGTCGGGCTCTGGGCTGATGGCTCGGAGCCTGGAGCCTGTTTCCGATTCTGTGTCTCCCTCTCTGCCCCTACCCCATTCATGCTCTGTCTCTCTCTGTCCCAAAAATAAATAAAAAAAAAACGTTGAAAAAAAAAATTAAAAAAAAAAAAATTACGATACCATTTTCTCACCCCTCCCCCACCAATTGACAATAAATTGTTAGGAGCATCAGATATCCAGTGGTCAAATCTCCCCGACTCTCTGATAAGTATTATTTTGCATTTGTTTCATTCTAATTGAGACGCAAATTAAGAGTGACACATGGCCTTTAGTTGCTATGTCTCTATGCATTTGTCTTGCCTCTTTTTACCCACTTTGCATAGTATTTGTGAAGGACCCAGAGTGTTTGGCCATCACGTTCTCACGTTCAGAATTTTGTTGATTGCATCCTGTAGTGTGTCTTCATGTGCTTTATCTCCTGTATTTGTTGTAAACTGGTGGTCTAGAGGCTTGATCTGACTCAGGTTAGATTTTTTGGCATGTGTGCCTCAAAGATCGTGCTGTGTCCTTTCGTCGGGAGCTGCATGCTGTCCAGTGGCCTCCCCTTTTGTGACATCAACAGCCATTGTTGATCATTACCTGGATCCATTAACTTACGACCAAAGCGATGCTAATACGCAGCCGGGACTAGAACCATTGGTTTGAACGTCCAGACGAGGGGACTGTGTCTTTGGTCTCCACTGTCTTTGCAGGGTCCTTGAACAGAGGCAGGTGAAAGTGATGTGTCTCCTTTTTCCATCTTCATTGAGGATGTTTTTCTCCCTTCTTCCTCTTTTGGTTAGCTACATGTAATTATTTAGGCAGAAGCATATGGCATTATTATTTTGGAGGCTTGTGATTGTGACATCCCTTGCTGTTGGTGTGAACCAGGTAATTTAAAAAAGTATAATTGTGTTTTTTTGTTTTTGGAATGGGTTATGAGGATTGGAGATTGCACAAAGCGCTCTGACTTACCTTTGCAAAAATACGTTTGTGTTGTTTTAGCGAAACGTTTCTCCAGCTTTTGGGGATCTGTGGTAGCCCTTGACCCCAGATCTGCCATCCATTTGGTTATTTTGTATTTGGGGGCTCTGAATAATATTTCAGTGACAAAAGTTTTGCTTCATTTTTTTTTCTTTACTTATTTATTTTGAGAGAGAGAGAGACAGCCAGTGAACAAGCTGGGAGGCACAGAGAGAATCTCAAGCAGGCTCCATGCTGTGAGCTCAGAACCCAAATGGGGCTCGAACTCACGAACTGTGAGATCATGCCCAAATCAAGAGTTGGACACTTAGCCGAGTGAGCTACCTAGGCACCCCAAAAGGTTTTGTTTCTAAATTAAGTTAGAAAGTTGTGGGGACTTTCACCATTCATGAGTTTGAGCCCCGTGTCGGGCTCTGTACTCACAGCACAGAGCCTGCTTGGGATTCTCTCTCTCCCTCTCTCTCTGTTCCTCCCCTGCTCTCTCTCACTCTCTCAGAATGAATAAACTTAAAAAAAGAAAGTCGTATTGATAAATAACACAAGAAAGGTGCCCAGAACTTTTCTAGGCGTATACCAGTCTGTAATGCAGAGTTTGACGTATATTACGTGGAGAGAACAATTCTAGTCGATAGAAAGTGGTTGTGTTAGATAATTAGAACCTCTGGAAGGGCAATACATTTGGTCTTCTAATTGCGCAGAGTATGTCCCAAATGACTACACCAGGTCAGGTGAAGCTGTGGTCCTCACAGATGGGCTGAGCACGGGGAATGTCTTGGTTAGCTTCAGCTGCCATAACACAGTACCGTAGACTTGGGGGCTTAAACAATAGACATTTATTTTCTCACAGTCCTGGAGGCTGGCAGTCCAAGATCAAGGTGTTGGCAGGTTTGATTTTTCCTGCAGCCCCCTTCCTTGGCTTGCAGATGGCCATCTTCTTTTTTTTTTTTTTTAATTTTTTTTCAACGTTTATTTATTTTTGGGACAGAGAGAGACAGAGCATGAACGGGGGAGGGGCAGAGAGAGAGGGAGACACAGAATCGGAAACAGGCTCCAGGCTCCAAGCCTGTCAGCCCAGAGCCTGCCGCGAGGCTCGAACTCACGGACCGCGAGATCGTGACCTGGCTGAAGTCGGACGCCCAACCGACTGCGCCACCCAGGCGCCCCAGATGGCCATCTTCTTAATGTGTCCTCTCGTGGTCTTTTTCTGTGTGTGTATCACAGGTGTCTCTTCCTCTTACAGGGACACCGTTTCTATTGGGTGAGAGCCCCACTTTAATGACCTCATTTAACTGTGATTACCTCCTTAAAGGCCCTATCTCCAAAGATAATCACAATGGGCATTAGGGCTTTCACATGTGAGTTTTGTGGGGGTGGGGAGGGGGACACAGTTCAGCCTATCCTAGTGAAGGGGGATCCCAGGGCTGAGATGCTCTAGGTCTAGGAAAGCATGATGATCCTGTGGAATCTTCTTGGGCTCAGGGGGCTTGGCCTCGGGAGGGGAATGGGTATGAGAAAGACTGGGCCTTGCTTGCTATAGAGGGTTTGGGGCTTCTGGGTAAGGAATATCAGGAGCCAGGCCCTGGGCCACAAGATGGGCACTGTGGCTTGGGACTCAGAAGTAAGCCCAGTCATCAGCTTTAGGACCACCATGAAGCCTGGCAAGCTGCAAGGATGATCTCGTGCTGAGTCTCTGTGGAAGTTAGCTTCCTCCACGCCCATACCTTTGCCTTCTCTCTGTGAGGTAGACTGGCCGAGAGAGGAGCATGTCAGGCCCAGGAGAGTCAGTGCAAGGGGAATGACTCCACTGTAGGACTCAGCTGTAGAACTTGCCCCCAAGGAGGGGACCTTAGTCCAAATCACAGCATCTAGAGCAGTCTCATAAATGCAGGTCCTGGCTGGGTTAGGGCCATCTCCAAAGGTTGACTCCGGCCTCCAGCTATTGGCCAGGGCCCCATGAACCGGGGCTGGCTTCCCAGAGAGAGAGGTTGTCGGGACAACATGGTTATCAAGACCAGCCAAGTGGACTTGGGGTTCACAGTGAAGCTCCAGGACCAGGGTGTAAGCCGAGGGGAGGGTAGAGTACAAAGTAAGAACGGAGACAGAAGCTCTCAGTCCTAGGGAAAGGCCCAATCTGTGGGGTTGTGAAAAGACACCTCAGTGTAGTCACCTGCGGGTTCTAAGAACTCTCCAGGCCACCTTTGGGATGGATGGCAGCAGACCATTTCGCGTGGGCTTCTATACGCCAGGCTCAGTTTTCTGCCTGGAAACTGAACTGACCTAGAGAGGAGGGGGAGAGGCAGAGGAGTCAGGCCTGGCCCTTCGGGAAGGAAACAGCCAGCAGGGCTGAGAGCCCCTATTGGGCATATGTGTGAGACTGCTTCCTCTGGCTGGCCAGCCAATGGTATGGTTTCTGTGTTATGTCTACAGTTGTAGCCCCACGGTGAGAGCAGACCGTCCTGCCTATCAGCAGATAACCTGCTTGTGGCAAAAAGATATATATAGGAATTTCGCAATCCAAGGCAGGATAATGATAAGGCGGTAAGAGTTCAGAGACAGGAAGACAGGGAATCATGACGGGCTAGAGACCAGGGAGAATTATTTTTCTAAAAATCCTTGTGAGAAATTTTAAACGTTCAGAAAGATTGAGTGAATCCATCTACCACTTAGCTTTAGTAGTTGTTAACATTTTGCCATGTGTGGTTTATCTAACCATACATATATATGCATACATACACGTATATACATATATATGTATATATATGTAATTATACCTATGTTGTGTCTATACATAATATATAATAATATGTACTACATATTTTTTTTAAGTTTATTTTGAGAGAGAGCGAGCACATGTGTGAGCAGGAGAGGAGCAGAGACAGGTGGGGGAGAGAGAGAATCCCAAGCAGACTCCACACTGTCAGTGCAGAGCCCAGCGTGGGGCTCGATCTCATGAACCATGAGATCATGACCTGAGCCAAAATCAAGAGTCGGATGCTTAACCGACTGAGTCACCTAGGTGCCCCAATACTACATATTTAATAACATATGATATGTAAATATACATGTACCACATACACACCCCTACTTTTTTTTCCTTGCTAAAACATTTGAAACTCCTGCGAACATCTCCTAAGAATAAGGATACTCTCTCTCTTACATAATTATAACAGCATGATCACATGTGAGAAAATTAACAACTGTTTCCTGATATCTGATATTCAGGCCCTAATCAGGTAAGGATTTGAGTGATAACAATAATAATAGCAATAACTAATATTTATTGGACACTTAGTATGTTGTAGGTCCTGTGCTCAGTGCTTTATGGTTATTACCTTATTTAATTTCCCTAACAGATAGGAATATTGTCAGGTACTATTGTCATCTCATTTTATTTAATGTAATTTTTAAAAAGTTTTTATTTACTTATTTTGAGAGGGGGTATGAGCGGGAGAAGGGCAGAGAGAGAGGGAGAGAGGGAGAATCCCAAGCAGGCTCCGTGCTTTCAGCACAGAGCCTGACTCAGGGCTCGAACTCATGAACTGTGAGATCATGACCTGATCCAGAATCAAGAGTCAGATGCTGAACCGAATGAGCCATCCAGGTGCCCCTGTCATCCCATCTTATAAGCCAGGGAACAAGTTCAGGGAGTTAAGTGACTCATGTGACTCCCACAGCTACTAAGTGGTGGGTGATTCCAGACCTAAGGCTTTTTGACGATAGAACGCTCCCTTTCGGCCGCTACTCTAGTGAGTAAGGAGCCTTCACCTGCCTTCATGACTGGGGCCAGGGAACGTGGGGGGTGGGTATAAAGAGGAGGGGGAGGAAGGCATTCCAGGGGCGTGGGGTCAGATGCTGACAACACCATTTGGGTGCTCGGGAAATTTCACAGCAAGGGACTGGCTGGGCTGTGGTTTGCAGCTGATTTCATCCCCCTCTGTCTTTTGACCAGGCACTGCTTACTCTCTTTTCCACTAGGACTGGGTAGGGAAAGAATCGTGGCAGCGTGTTAGCAGCTCTGCCGAAAGATTTGACGAGAGAGAAGGAAGGCGGAAGGGTGAAGGTGACCTGGGGGTTCTTGGTTTTCCACTGGGCCCCCTGCAGTGTGGTGGATGATGAGTAGCTGTCTGGCTTGGTGGCAGGATCTTGCCTAATTCGGTGGCCAAAGGATCTTGCAGAAAGAGCTCCTTTGCCTTTGGAGGGGGGGGGGGCGGCCACCATAGTCACACAACCGTGGTCTCGTCGGTCTGTACTGGGCTTAACCTTTCCTATTCTCTCCCTCCACCAGCTCGCAGACCTCAGAAGAGAGTGCCATTGAGACAGGTTCCAGCAGCTCTACCTTCGTCAAGAGAGAGGATGAAACCATCGAGGACATCGACATGATGGATGACATTGGCATAGACTCCTCAGACCTGGTAGAGGACAGCTTCCTGTGACTGGCAGATTCAGGGGGCACCTTCCACTCTTGGAGCCACCTTGGATCCCTTTAAGAAAACCACTTTATTGCAATGCAAAGTTGGGGAGGAGGACTTGGACGATGTGTAAAGAGAAGTTCCCAGCCAAGGGCCTCAGGGAGCCTTCTAAATATGGATGAATGGGATATTTCGGAATGAACTTTCTTAGCGTTGCCCTTGCAATGCTTTAGTAGCATCTCGGCGGTGTGTGAAGTTTGGAGATAGATGGACAAAGAAATAATAGGCCACGGAAGGTGAACTTTGTGTTTCAAGGGCATTGGTGAGAGTCCAACATACACGATTTTTATTTACGAGAAAACTCCAGCATTGTAATTATGTAAATAACTCTAACTGAGGGTGTGTTTAGATTTCTATTAACTGCTCTGGACTTCTGAAGAGACCACTCAACCCATCCATGTACTTCCTGCTTGAAACCTGGTATCAGTTGCCGTTGAACTTTCCTGGGAAGTACATGCAAAACCACTTTTGAACCTTAAAAGGTACTGGTACTATAGCATCTTACTTTTTTTTTTTTTAGTGTTAAAGAGATAAAGAATAATAATTAACCAATCTTGTTTACTAGATTTGGGTCATTTAGAAGCCCAGCCACTCATTTTCATATTGTAATCTACTGTTATTCAGTAATGCTACATGTGTAATGTGGAACACGTTTTCCCTACAGAGAAAGCACAATTTAAAAAAAAAGATTCTTACTAAGTAGGCGACAAGTTTGACAGTTTGTGACATTTATATCAAATAACCGATGTTTCTCTATAAAATATGGTAATAGCTTTAGTGGATTAAATTTAGTTGAACATAGAGAACAGTAAAAGTAGTGTCTTCCAGGAAGTCAGTGTTTTTAACTGTGTGCCGAATAGGTTCCCTAATCCGTTGTACTAAAAACAATTAACTGCCCTCTGAAGTAATGGGATTTGAAAGAAACAAAACCCCGAAATCCTAAATGTTCGCAATCTAAAGGCATAAGCCTGTGCCTAACATGACTTGTCATGTTACTACCCAGTGGAAAATACAATCATCGGTAAAAAGACTGGATTTGCAGAGGTCGTTTTCATGCTTGGTGATAACTTTGGTGGATCCCCAAATCTGTGTTTTTAAAATGTTACAAACCCTAGAAGGGTCAGAAGGATGCCTTGAATATCAGCCCCCTTTCTTTCATCTCATACCCCAAAGAGAAATAGTTTGAAACTGTGAGAACATAAAGGCATTATTTAATGAATACTGCATACGCATTAGCCTGGATCCTTGGTTCCCAAATGGGATCGCAACTGGGAACACCAGATTCTAGGTCCCCACCCCAGATCTTCTGAATTATTAAGTCTGGTCAGGAGTAGGAACCTGTCTTTTTATAAACTCCCTGGCTGTTTTGATTAGCCAGGTTTGGGCAACACCAGCTTAGGGTACAGGAAGTTGCCATGGGACACAGATAATTTGAAAGTTGGAACTAGGCTAGAAGTCAGCCATGCAGGAAGCCTACCATTTAAGTCCTTGGCTTTGGGTCAGTGACGTTTAATGCCATATATGTGGCAATTGCTGCCCTTAATTTAACTTTCCAGTCTTAGCTGAGGCTGCGAAAGCAAAACCTTGGTTTAGCAGGTCTTTCCAAAAGTAAAGACATTGCTCCCTACTGCATGGGGGACCTGAACTTGCCACCCGCCCCCCCCCCAGCCCCCCCAGAGGCATGTACAAAAATGATGCGATTTAGGGTGCCAGGTCTCTGTATAACCAGGTTAATATTTTGGTGAAAACAAAACAAAACGAAAAACTAAAAAGTTGTGCTGAAATTTTGGGGTGACATAGCAGGACACATTGTCACCTCCATCCAAACTGTCAGATGCGTTGGGGTGGGTTCATTGGCATTCTCTGCGCTACTGCTTAATTGCTGACACCATATGAATGAAACATGGGCTGTGATTGCCGCAATCACCGTCCGTGCTCCTTGGAAGAAGTAGCAGCAGAAACAAGGTACTTGACTACCTAGTGGTATAATCTCAGTGCAAGCCCCAACTTTCTTACCCACCTTTTTCATACTAAGTGTGAAGACTGAGCCAGATTGGCCAATTAAAAAAGAAAATCTGACTAGGTTCTGTAGAGCCAATTAGACTTGAAATACATTTGTGTTTCTAGAATCACAGCTCAAGCATTCTGTTTATCGCTCACTCTCCCTTGTACAGCCTTCTTTTGTTGGTGCTTTGCATTTTGATGTTCCTGTGAATTTTGTGTGACATCATGGGGCTGGATGAAAATTCTCAGACAAGCAGGTTCCAGTCCTAATGAATACCCCCACCTAAGTTTTTGTGTGACTGCATCTTATTTTTTTTTAACAGTATTTTCATTGTATCACAGACTTGTTTCCTTTTTGGCCTCCTGCAAAATCCCCAGATGAAAATTTGCCAACCCTTCCTGCTTTCTGTTTTTATGAAGACAATCAAAGCTGGCCTGAGAAACACAATTTGTGACTTTTTTTTTAAATGATCAATGATGTCCTTAAAATGTGGTCTGCCAATCTGTACAAACGGTCCTATTTTTGTGAAGAGGGACGTGACATAAAATGATGTTATACATCAATATGTATATATGTATTTCTTTATAGACTTGGAGAATACTGCCAAAACATTTATGACAAGCTGTATCACTGCCTTTGTTTATATTTTTTTTTGACTGTGATATTCCCCACAGGCACATTAACTGTTGCACTTTTGAATGTCCAAAATTTATATTTTAGAAAAATAAAGAGAAAAATACATAAGTGTTTCCAAAACAGTGGTGTGGTGAATGTTTGTGAAGTAACTCAATAGGTAGGGTCTACTGGTAAAAAATGTATTACAGAACGCCCCATTCGTGTTTTTGTTTTAAAACATGTAAATGAAGATCTTTATATTTCAATAAATGATATATATAATTTAAAGTTACACTAAGGCCCCAGCATTTTTGTTTTTAGCTGAATCACATAAATTAAAGCAATCTTGTTCAATGCGCTTTCTGACCAGTATTTCAGTAGGGCTTCATATCGTGGTTTTGATGAAACCAATGGGAAATTTAAGATTTAAACGTTATTTGAGCGCGTTAGTTTTCAGACACAGCGTTTAACTTAAAAGATAACCGGCACTTGGCTCATCCTCAATCCTATTGTTTGTTTGTTTGAATAGCATTTTATTGCATCGTGTTTTTCTCCCCCGCAGGAGCACAGGAGTGCATCTGCAACATTCAAACATTGTAGGTGTGTGTGATACGAGCGATTAAAGGCTTTCTTCACCATATCTTCTTCCCTGTCCCTGTCCGGGTTCCCAGAGGCAGAATTGCGTCTTTCATCTTTCCGCTCTCCTCTCCGTGCATCTGCTTATGTACCCGTATATACATCTCTATTTTTGCTTCATGTTTTACCTAAATAGTATTTACTTTACGTAACGCTTTGTAAAGTGCTTTTTTTCCTTTTTTTAAATCGGCTTTATTTCCTACAGCAGTTTTAGGTTCACAGCAAAATTGAACAGAAGGTACGGAGGTTTCCCGTATACCCCCTCTCCCCACTCATGCAAAGCCTCCCCTATTATCAGCATCTCCCACGAGAGTGGTACATTTGTTCCAATTGATGAACCTATACGCGTACATCATTATCAGAGCTTATACCGCTCTTCTCTTTTAATGCTCTGTTTTACAGAGCTCTGTGAGAAGTACATATAGATAGACCTCCCTCGATTTTTATCAGCTACATAGTTTCTCATTATGTGAATGTACCATAATTTATGCAATCGTGTTCCTATAGGTGCATTTATAGGTTCCCATTCTTCGCTACGGAAATGACTTCTTGAATAGCCTTGTGCACACATAGGAGTGTCTTGTTAGGGTAGAATCCTGGAAATAAAATTGCTAGGCCAAAGGGTGTGCGGAAATAAATTGATGTTAAGCCCAAGCCTTCACTTCCGACTGTCACAGTAAATTTTGGAACGGGAGTCACCTGCTTTGCAGATTATTTTACTAGCCCTAGTTTTCTCGGGTCTCCTCTACCTCTCATTGCTCGCTGTGAAGTCGTAAGTGTCAGGAGGGTGTCAGTTTTTGCACTCTGAGGCATGCCGAATCAAACGACATGGATTTACAAAACAAAAATCGTATAATTCAGTTTATTTTCTTTTTTTTCAATTTTTTTTTTTTACATTTTTTTTAAATTTATTTTTGAGAGACAGAGAGAGAGATACAGAGCACAAGTGGGGGAGGGGCAGAGAGAGAGGGAGACACAGAATCTGAAGCAGGCTCCAGGCTCTGCGCTGTCAGCACAGAGCCCGATGTGGGGCTCGAACCCACGAACCGTGAGATCATGCCCTGAGCCGAAGTCAGTTGCTTAACTGACTGAGCCACCCAGGCGCCCCTATTTTTTTATTTTATTTTATTTTTTAAAATTCAATTTATTTTCAATTTCCGGTTATGGAAATTGATTGTTATTAATAATTGGAATATAGCACCCTATTCCAACAGAACTCCTTCTGGCCCATATTCAATCAGCCTGCAGATCAAAGCACACCTCCTTGGAGTTAAGTTAGAAGATGTCAATGTAGGCCGAGTATTGGCTCTGCTTCTGTTCAGCCCCAGAAAGGAGAGGGATCATCAGGAACAATAATCCTACTGATTAAACAATAGCTGCCTAATCTAGCATCCACACAAGGCGCTAAGCCTGCAGAGAGATCTTTCTGTTCTCCTGTTTAACGTATAACTCTACCTCTCAATATAGTATAGACAACGCGGCCTTCTTTATCCCCTCGTGATGATAAAAGTGACTTTTACTATTGGAGGATTTTCCAGCTTTTTCAAAGACCCTGTTCACATTCACTTCTTTTGATTCTCAAGATGGGATTTTGAGGCAGGGAAGAGAGTTTATAGATGAGGAAACCCAGTGACTTCTAAAAATCATACAGCAGAGTGATGAGAGCATGAGGCCAGAAATTCGAAATTGTACCAATTCCAGTGCTGTT